AATTAAAAATAAAAAATTTTAAAAAACAAAACAAAATCACAAAATCTATTCTGAAATTTCTATATCCAAGGAACTCTAACTTGAACAATGTTAGTTTTATGCATGGTATTTCAAAGTTTATTATTTCAGGTTATTATGTTAGATAACTTACCATAGACTGTTTTACAATGAAGAGAAAGGTAATGAAAGATGTTACATTAAAAGGGAGATACTGAAGTTTAGAGCGGTGGCTCAGGCCTATAATCCCAGCATTTTGGGAGGCCGAGGCGGGAGGATAGCTTGAGGCCAGGAGTTCAAAATCAGCCTTGGCAATAAGCAAGACCCCCATCTCTACAAAAAATAAAAAATTAGCTGGGCATGTTGGCGTGAGCCTATCGTCACAGCTACTAGGGAGGCTGAGGGAGGAGGATGCCTTGAACCCAGGAGTTACAGACTACAGTGAGCTACGATGATGTCACTGCACTCTAGCCTAGGCAACAGAGTGAGACCCTGTCTCTAAATAAATAAACAAATAGGAGATACTGAGTAAATAAACATTCTGATATACCTTTGCAAATGAAATACAAAATGAGAGAAATAGAATGCATACAGAAATTATTAGAGGGTAGCAGGATATTGTGTATTCTGGATCAATCTCAGAGAATGGTACTTGATCATTTTCATTCCTTTCTACTTTGGAAATTAATTATTTATACACAGCCTATACTGGTGTTCTGTTCATCTATGGCATTCTTAAATACACAGAATTTTAGACCTAGAAAATATTTTAATCCTCAGTTTCCTTAACTGTAAAATGTGAAGAATAAAAATATTAAACTTTCTCATAAAGCTATTATGAGAATTCAATGAGCTAATACATGTAAAGTGTCTAGTACAAGTCTGGTAGCTATTATATTTCAATCCCTCAATTTCACAGACAGGGAATCTAAAGTCTAGAAAGGTAAAAACTATTTTGTCCCAAATCACACAACTACTTAGTGGCAGATTCAGAACTGAAAGTCAAGTCCTCTAAGTTGAAGTTAAATCACCTTGTCCACTATAGTTTGCGATATAATATTGTCTCTCTGGCTTTGGGTAAAACTTTTAATTATAAAGTTTCAGGCTCTGACTACAAATAAAGTAAAAATGCAAAGATAGGATAACTATGTGCTGACTAATAGGTAAAATTAAGAGGCAAGCAGAAACATTGTGCAAAGGGGAATTTGTCCAGGAGGTGTTCACTGCTACTGGCCAAATACTAAAGTACCACTGCTCCCATTGTAGGTCTGAAGCCTCAGGGCAGTACATTCTAATCTTGATCATAACTTTATCCTGGAGTCTAAGAAAATCCAGGACAACCAGCTGAGCAGGAAAAGTGTAATAGTTATAGAATTGGTGATCTCTCTTTTGCTACACTAAGATCCTTTCACTCTTTTACTCTGAGAAGAAAGATTAATTTTGAGTTCTTCCTCTACATAATATATCATGAACAGGATTGAGAAAGAAAATATGACTAATAATTTTTAGAAGTAGTAGCAATATTACTAGAAATAGTAGAAACAAACATTGATAAGAAGTAACAAAACCAGAAAACCGGAAATTAGACAACGAATAAGCTCCAAATCCATCTATAATGGCATAAATCAGGAGAAAAAGAATATATTCAAAAGAAAATAAAAATAGTAAGAAGTCATAATCATTATCATTCAGTCCTTTTTATCAGTCACTGTGATGTATTTAGGAGATCTGAAAAGTTTCCTTGACCTGAATTTTTGATGGCTAGTAAGAGAAACACTGATCAGAATAGCAGCAGAAGTTTATCCTAAATAATACAAATTGAGTGGAACATAAAAGAAAAAAAGGTAGAAGAAAATCGGAGAAGAGGAAGAGACAAAGATTTTGGCAAATGTAGGTGAAGCCTAAGAATTAGACAATTTAAAGACAATGGCAAAAATACAAAGGAATTTGCAATGATATGATAACGCAAAGAAGCAATTCCCAGGAAAAATAGTATAATTTGGTCAGGACGAAGACAGGAAGTTCGAAAATGGAAGACAGAAGACTTGATAAACAGAAGGGAATATAGCAAAGGCAACATTTCTTCTATTTTGACTCTCTTCTAATACTTTTGGGAAAATATTACAATTTAAAACTTAGAACATATCTTATAAAATGGATGCTATTATTGGCAAAGAGAAACCTAAGCACAAAGAGTGAGGGATAAGAATCAGGACAAAAATTCATCAAGGCTTGGCTTTTAATGCCATTGCATATACACCCATCAGACAAAGTTGAGACAAAATTATTTCAGAGGCAATTAGCCGTCTATTTTATTATTAAACAAATTGGGAGCACATTGTCAAGGGATGTCTCTCTTTGTCTAAGAAAAATTAAAGTTGTACTACAAATGAAAATTCAGTTAATTTGGTCCTTATGAAATTGTACCTACCCCAAATTAATTGAGCAAAAGGTAAAGAAATATCTCATTTTTCAGAAACTCTGGGAATTACAAAAACCGAGAGTTTTATTATTTTTTAAATCACTGTTCTGATACCTTTACATTTTTCAGTACATAGCATCCCCAGTTTTACAAAGACTTGACTGCATCTTTAGGGACAACCAATCCGAACAGTAGCTACAATAATTCATAAGTGGAATGATATATAATTATCCAAAATTCCTCAAAGCCAATAGAGAAGATTGCTTTTAGATCTGTGATACCTGGGTACAGCTATCCTCCAAGAAAGCTAAAGTGCAACAGAGCACAACTCTAGAAGATATAAACAGAACTTCAGTTAAATGGGAGACTTGGCTAACCACAATTGAGTAAACCTGAGTTGCAGTGTAATCTGATAAGGAACAATCAGCATGGATTCCAGAAGTGTAAACCATGTGCCTGTAACACACTAGGGTTCTTTGAAAGAGTTAATCAAATAGTGGATAAAGAAAAACTGATACATATAATTCAAGGGTTGTTTTCAAAAAATAAAGTTTCTCTTAAGAGGCTATTAAAATTTAGTAACTGTTTGTGGATTAAGAATTGATTAACAGACAATAAACCAAGACTAATACGCAAAGTATCCAGAAATTATTACTACACCAGTGTAAAAATTTATTAATAACCTAGAAGAAGCATAGAAAAGTAGACACTGAATTGCTAATAATTTAAAACTATCCACTGGAAAGCCTGAAAGTCCTTGCTAAGATACAGTGAAATTCCCTCTTCAGAAAGTAAGAAAACAATACTTAAAGTATACTGATAGGCTCAAAGTTAATAGTTAAAAAAAAAAAAAAAAACAAGATTAGCAAGATTTGCCAGAGTGAAAAAAAGGGCAGAATGAGAAAATATGATAAAGATTAATAAAATAATGAATGGCAAAGAGAATACATGCCAACTGGTACCTCTCGCTTACCTTTTTCCTTTAAGAAAACACAGAAACTTTATGTAGAGCTTTATGATAACAGAAGACAACAAACAAATTTAAAATAAGAGGAAATTATTTTGTGCAGCATATAATTAGCCCACTGAATATGCTATCACAGGACATTAATAAGGCACAAAGTTTAGCATGGCTCCCCTAAACCTCAGATATATCAAAATATGGCTCTATAATAAAATTATTTATGGTAAAAATTTAAATGGTATACACACCTCATACTTCAGGGTATTAACTAGGCAAGGTCAGGAAGGAGGTTTCCTTTCCAACTGCTGTATTCAAAATGATTTATGATTTCAACTTTTAAGTGTTCCTAATTTTATCTCAGAGTCCAAATTAAATGACAGACTCTAATCCAAAAAAACTTATGCCACTTTTTCAATATACTCTTCTTTTTTCTTTATTTTTCTAAATGGCACAGACTTCCATTTCACCCAATTCTTCTTCCACTTCATTTATTCCAATTTCAAAATACTGCCTGAGAAGTGATAAATGAAGAACCACTAAACCATGTATTTAAAAATCCGTGTTTGGAAAAGAGTTCTATAATTTAATTTTCCTACCTTCTTTCTCTAAGTAGACAAAAATTTAAATTAATACAACACCTTGGTTCTGTTCATATTTTGGATGCTGAGATAGATCATATTTAAGAACATTTTACCTGTATCCAAGAGCTACAGCAAAAAGTGTCCTTCTATATAATGAATTTTTATCAATAAGCAATATCATTTTATAGAGGACAGTAGAATGCCCATTAAAAAGGTATTGCCCTCTAGGCTCTGTCTTCACCATGGGGATGAGCAATTGGTCTATGAAATGCTATAGCCCCAGTCAGTTCATAAATTCAACACATAAAGAATAGGCTACATATGAATGAGTTATAGGCAAAATTCACAGCCTGAAAGCCTAAGAAACTATGACTGAAAAACTTAGGGGGTCAATAAAAACCATATGTTAAATTTTTGAAAATGATAAAATTATGTGTGGACAAGACCAAAGTGATCAGGAGGCAGGCTCACACCTTGTGTCCATTTTGTAATCCAGTCCTCTCCATTTCGGGCTTAGCAATAGGGTGCCACACGTGGTATAAGGCCAGCCGTAGCATTCAAGCTTGACTGAATGTTAAAAGTGACACAGTAATCAAGTATGTGCCAAGGGCATTCTAGAATTTCAGTTGCTTCTGACCATTAAAATCAACCATTTTAGTACCCACTTCAAATTTAAACTGGATGTAAAGTACAGTCTTCAGGTCAATTAAATGCAATCCCATATATTGCATCCATCAAAAACTAATGCCCAGAATATATCATACCTCAATAAAAGGTTTTACTATGTTTCTCTAAAAAGGCTACAGAATCCCAGTTAAAAATAAGCAGATAATCTTCTAAAACACAGATTTATATATTTCTTCTCGAGTATAAAATAAGAATTTGCTTTAGAATACCAATAAGGCAATATCCTTAAAAGACAGAACAAATAGAAAGCTATGCAGCAGAAGCCCTTGTATATTTGACTTGGGAGACAAAAGAAGAAAAGGCATATTTCAAACAGATGGAAAAAGAAATGTAATAAAGTTATACTTGCCTGCATTAATTTTCCTTCTGCTGGAGTTATCTCAGCAACACCAGCAAACACACCTTCCAAAGTGAGATTCAGTTTTCCCGTGGGGTCCATTTTCAAGGGGATCACTCTGATAATAGCTTTTTGCTCTGCTGATCTTTCAGACTCCACCGCTGCTGCCAGGACCAGTCCTGTGCGTCCAAAGCCTGCCTGCAGGGTAGCCATCAGCAGCCAGGGCCAGAGGGCAGCCAGCTGCAGCTGGTGGCCACCACTCATGCTACCAGCTGCAGCAATGCACTTTGGCCATACATACTTCTTCCACTAGCTAATACCAAATGCAGGTTCTCAGATCCAGACAAATGGAGGAAAAGAGAATTTACGCTTCAGTTTCAGAAAGCCAGGTTGTAGTTTTGGCCCTTTGTTTTTCTAAAGTATATTCCCAAGAACAGGTGGCATTCCTGATTGAGCATAGAAGAGGCAGTTTTCAGCCAACTTCTGCTGTAGGTATGTCATTTTCTCCCATCTTCACTCTGACCAGTAAAGATATCACCACTTCTCTTTGGAATTTCCAGCTTTGCTTGAGATTGAATGTCACATCGTGAATTTTTATTATGTCAGCTCACTTGGTGTTGCTCTTCCATATGCATCAAGCTGCCAGGCACTAAACCCAATGTCCATGAACAAAACAAGGCAAAGTAAACAGCTAAGACCATGCATCAAAAGTTGAGAGTGAAGAACTCCAGCTCAGAAAATGAAGAGATGGCCCTTTTTAAGCCACCACAAAATTTCTCAATGGTAAATGACTAAAGACCACAGGGAGAATTTTTTTTCATGGAGGAAAAGGAGGACCGTAATAAAAATTTCAGGCCACACCTTGAGGATGTCCAAAGATGGTACATCATGTATTTAGAAAAGCTGCCACATTAAACTGTATTTCGGTGTAGCCAAAGTTCTAGGCCCACTGAATTTACATACTTTTCATAAACTCAGACATACTATATTTTTTTGTTTTACCAAAAGTTGCCTATAAATTAGGTGCTAATTTAATATATTTTCACATATTACAGGATAATCCCGAGTATCACAACCTTTTCCAACTGTCATAATTAGAGTATTTGAAAAAGTAAGCTTCCCAATTATTTTTCCCAGCTAAAAATTATATTTCTAATCTCCATTTTCCTTTCTCTCTTAGGAATTCCAGATTTTATTCTCCAGCTTGTGAATGCCAAGCACTTTGATTTCCCATGAGATGCTTTTGGAAAGTACTTTAATGTCCAGATCTTATAATCTGAAGTTTTCTAAGCTCATAAGAAAAACAAAGGACTGTTCCTAACACGTTTTCAAATTCCTTGAGGGGGTGGGGAATAAAAGATAGGGGGAGCAGTGAGGTGATCAGTCACAGGCTCTAAGTAGAACACCCTGAAAAAATACAAATAAGCCTGAGTAGAGCAGACCTGTGGTATTTCTAGACACATATGAGAATTCGGGTCTTTGTACAAACAAAGATTAAGCTTTTAAAATGTACACCCTTAAGTAAGTATAAATGCACTTCAGCCACACTGCCCGCTGTGTTCTGAGGTCAAGTTTAAAGATCTTAGAAAGTCTTCAGAATAAGTGCTGAAAAGCCAAGCAATTGAACATGAACCTGTTATATAGTTTCTTTTCTTTTGCCGAGGCAGAGGGAGGGGAAAAAAAAGAATTTCAAACGAAATCTGCAAACCTGTTGCGCTGTCGGGCCCACTGGAATCCACGGGGGTGAAACAAATTCAATTATGCTTTTTTTTATAGATCCTGCTCAAAAAACGTTTCAACTGCTTAACCAAGTACAGCTCATTCTTCCACCTTCTTACTCTGCAACCAAACCAAGCGCCCCACACTACAGGTAGGTGCCGAGAAATTCCGCAGCCTGAAAAAATAATCCATGCAGGTCAAAGGCAGAAACTTACTCCAGGATGAGGGCTACTGTCCCCAAGAACTCTAAAAACACTTAGAGAAGATCCAAAATCATTTCTGAAATCTCCTTTCTAACAAAGGTTCTTTTTCTCTCCGAACAGCATATAAAATGATCAAATCTTGAAAGAGAAAAGAAGCAAAGTAGCAAATACATCAGCAACAATTCACTACCAGAAACACAGAAAACCCAGAGGGAGAAGGCAATAATCTCTCAATCATGGATGGACTTGGAAAGTTCCGAAGGATTCGAGTGCTTCCCTTCCAGAAAGACAATTCTGGATCAACTCCCTAGAGCAGGAAGCCTGTGGTTTGTAATTGGCGTTCTAGCTCTGACTCCCTCCCCTGGGACTGCAATCACGCTCTCTACCTGCTGACAAAGTGAGGGTGGAGCAGCTGGAGGCAACCACCCCCCAGCCCGCCCCTCCTCCTCCTGGTGCGCACACACACTTACTTAACCAGACACGTTCTTTCGCTCGCTCTGGCTCAGCTCCTCTACTCCCTCTATTGAGCCACAGCCAAACTGCATCCAATTCACTCCTCAATACCTTTCTCTGGGTAAGCAAGCTACCACATGTAAATCAGGGCCACTCAAACATATCTAAGCAGATTCTGCACCCAACAGAGCATAGATGATGGTATGAGGAAATAAACAGAAAAAATAAAGGAAATCTAGAAGATAAAAGAATAGATACAAGGTTTTGCAAATATTAAGTTCAAATGGATTTCTGCTTTTTCTGGGTTTATCTATAAATAGCACAAAGCCAGAATAAAGTGATCCTGTGCTATAGCACTTACTGATTTATTGCAGCTTATGTCTGCTACCCTTGGAAGGGCTCTGTTCATTTTATGTATAGCTTTTCTTTAGCTCTTACTAATTTAAATTCAGTAGCTCTGTCTAAAATGTGCCTGTATGGAGCTTTCATATCAGGTTGATGTCAGAGGTCTGGAATCCAACTGTTATTTTTTCACATCTTTGGGAGGTGAAATAATGCTATGGAGCAGACCTATGCCCTCAATGTGAGACTACAAGTAAGTCTATGTCATAAATACAAGCAAAGGGGCAAAATATGCTTAATGAGAAGAGTGTAAAGGGAAAAGTCATTTTTGGCTGATTACCACATTCATAAACTATACCTTGTCATTAGAAATAATGCAAGTTTATAAAACGTTTATAATATTTGAATTTTCAGATTGGTTACCAGATTACATCTGACTGTGGCCATTTTATTTTTGAAATGCTGCCATAAACTTTCAAAATTATACAAATGATAAACAACGTGAATATTGTTAAATCTACTGAAGTGTACACTTAAGCTGGTTATGATGGTCAATTTTATGTGGTTTTTTTTTTTTTTACTTCATGTAAAAATGAACCTCTGTTTGATCATCTGTAAAATGTCAATGATAGTAATTGTAGGTTTGCTGTAAATATCAAATGACATAATGCCTCTGAAAGCAAAAAGTATTAGTGGCCTATTCACTCTAAACATTTTTCCCCTATAGGTAAGGTTTATAAGAATAGTTTCAGAATGTTAGATCTAATAACCTAAAACAGAAATAAATTCTAATTCTTAATTTAGCAATTTTTCTCTTGTTTGGACCTTTAAAACATAATGCAGGTACAGTCATCCCTCAGTATCTGCAGGGGACTGGTTCCAGTGCACCCCCAAGAATATCAAAATTCACAAATGCTCAAGTCCTTTGATAAAATAGCAAAGTATTTGCATATGACCTATGCACATCCTTCTGTGTGCTTTAAATCATCTCTAGATTACTTATAATAGCTAATACATTGCTTAATTTGCATAGATTCAACAGAGTACTCAGCATGAAGAATAATCAAGTTTCACTATTTGGAACTTTGTGGGATTGTTTTTTTCTGAATTTTTGAAATTCAAGATTAATTGAATCCATGGAAGTGGAACCTACTGATAAGAAGGACCAACTGTATAAATCTTTTATAGCTCCTTTCCCAAAGGATGGGAAAAGTTCTCATTCTGTTGGAGAGAATTTTTAAAAATCTGCTATGGTTTATGCCAGGCATCCTCAAACTGCGGCCCGCTGAGGACATTTATCTGGCCTGCCAGGTGTTTTTGCCACTGCTGCCGGTCCTGCTTAGCAGCCGACTTGTCTGGGGCCCACAGTGCACATGTGTGGACTGTGCGCAGCACTCTCCAACGGGCCTCCAACGGTCTGAGGGACAGTGAACTGGCCCCCTGTTTAAAAAGTTTGAGGACCCCTGGTTATGCTTTTATTTTATGTATGCCATACAATTGTACAGCATAAATAATGCAAAATACACATTATCATATATAATTGATATATGCAAAAGTATCTTTAAAGTTAAACTAAACAAAAAAAATAATAACCTACAAATGGACTTTCAGTCATTCCTGCTTGAAACCTGCAAAGGAATTAAGAGAGCTAAACCTAATAGTTAATATACACACTTATTGAAGGAAGGAAGAAAGTTACAAATATGGTTGCCTTCTCTTGAGGAAACTTTGAGATCTGGGAATGATGATATGTTATCATGAACCTGAGGACCCTGAGAAACTTAGGATCAATCAACAGCTCTATGTAGTTAGTTCACTGATATACTGTGTTTATTTAGGTCACCAGAAGTGCAAGAGAATTTATTATCCACCTTCAAAGTTTTGGGGTTATCCCTCAAGGGTTGATATACCACAACACCACTCCAGAGATGTCATAAAGATGCCATCACTATCATAATGAAATTCCCATCTCATGACATCTATTACCTAATCTTACACATTATCATCCTTCAGGATCCATTTTCACCCCTGGATTGACTAAATTTACTAAATATCATTCATCCTTTTCTAAAAAACTAAGTTTCTGTAAAACATGTCTGAGAATTATCCTTATCCTTAATGGCATTTTAAAAATTCAATCACTATTCAAGTGCAAATAAAAAAAAATTTTTTTAAATCAGATTCTTAGAAAAACAAAGTATATTCTCTTTTGAGCGTTACTATTATTATTAATGGTCATAATGATTGAGTTTTCTATTGATCACCTATTAGACAGTAAAAATAAGCAAGACAACAAGTCTAGTTGGAACACTCACTTTATTTTTGACTGATTGAAATTTATCGGTGCTTAAGGTGCTGAAATACTGAGGTGCTCTAGTCAGGAACCTTGTTAGTTGACTAGTTGTATCAGACCCTACTGGCTAATTCACATGAAGATTTTATTATACCTTTTGCCATTTTTCCCAAGTCATTAATGATAGCTTTAGTTGATAGGTACCAGGCATGTGAGTATAGCAGGAGATCCAGCTCCTTGGTCTGTTGTATTCATATATAAAAAAGTTTGGAAAGCTGATTAAGGCATTTCATTAATTAAGCCTTAAAACCACTGAAACTAAATCTATGCCAAGGTTCCTGCTTGACACATGTTCCTCAAAAGATATTATTCTCAACATATATAAAGCTAAGAAACCCATATTTAAGGGAAGAAATATCACCTACACAGTATATCAGTTCTTCAACATGACAGAGAAAAGGCAAAGTTCCTTCATTTGGAAACTGGGTTTCCTCTTCACATACTCTGTCAAAGTATACAGTCTGGCCAAAAGATGTAGGTGTCTTGATAATTTGTTCATCTTTTAAACCTTGCTAATAAAGATGAATAAATGCCCATCACATGGACATCAACTAGTCTAATCAAAGGGACTAGACAGGTCACTTTTCAGAACCTACTTTAATATCTGAACTGAGTCACTATAGACCAATACAGACCTCACCCTTTTCCAAAAAAACTAGATCTCTGTAACACTTCTAGGGTTTAACATCATTGGGAAGGCACAATGCAATATAAGAAATGAACTGTTACATTCACAATGACTAGTATAGCACTATGTCATATAACTAAGTGCCTTTTCTTTTAATTAGTTTCATATTCCTAGGCTTTCCTTTTGTTTCTGCAGTGTTTACTAGGAGAACTGAAGCAGAATCCAAAGGAAAGTTCTAGTCAATTTAGAAGACTTTAAATCAGAAAGTTTCTTGCTGTCATTAGGTGAGCAAGTAAGAGATCAACCACAGAAATTAGACATCCAAGATAACCTTCTCTCCTAAAAAACAGTCCCACAATCCTACCACTCAAATTTAGAATCCTATAGAAGGGATAACAAAAAAAATGTTATAGTCTATCCCACTATCCAAAATTCTAAATATCAGAGGCATAGCTTCTGCTAAATGACTGCTAATCAGTTTTTCCCCAAATTTGCACACAATACCTTACATAGATGAGGATTTATACTTACTGAATGTAAAAATCTAAAATAAGAAAACACTGTGTTAAATCTCTTAATGTTTTTTACACACTGTACATTTCCCCTTCAAAATAAAAACATTACACATGCATCCTTTATCCTTCTGTCCTGCAATAATAAAAATATAAAGCTTTAAAACCTTTAAATCTATCAGCATTTATAAATATAATTATATTAAACAAGTTAAATACTTTTCTTTAGAAGACATTTAAATAACTGATATATTAACAAAACCTTCTTACTATTTATGATAACATATCATTAAAATTAAAGAAAGATAGGAAAATAGAAGAATGCTCCCATTAATATAAAAGAATCAGGGGCTGTTAAGTGTGATAGATGGTCCAAGTCCGATGCCTGGCTCTTGAAAAGGAATGCTGGGTTAGGAAGTAAGAGAATTTCCTAGTTAACCACTTAGAAAATTAGCTCTTTCCCAGAGTTTCTTCCCTGGAATTCCTGACCCATTTAGACCTGTGATCTTGGTGACCTCGGTCTTTGTTTCTCACACAATCTTGTCTAAAAGGATCACACTGTGACTTGAAACAGAGAGACTGAACTCCCCAACTCCCCACCGGAGTTGTGCTGACTACAGTTTGAGAGTGGCAAGACAACACATCAGCACACGCACAGATTATTCTCCATTACCATAGATGCAGCAGTTTTGGATGCTTCTTGACTGTAACAGAAGGCCAGGACTTTTCATTTGAAAGGGATCTGGGCAGCAAAAAAACATGGCTGCTAGATGTTTAGTAGTTTGTCAAGGCAAATAATCTGAACTGAACAGCTGTAGTAAATAGCAAATTCCCAATTCTCAATTAACAAAATTCTCAATTAACAAAACAAAAAATACTTTTTTTCCTTAACAGAACTGAAAAAATCCCAACAGTGTGTCATGTGCAAGGCTAGTCTGCCTCCAGCTACAGCTCGTGCACAATGTCACATTTGTCATCCATTCCTCACTCTTTTAATTCTTCCTCCTTTGGAAAGTGCTCCTGCTTGCAGGCCACGTCCACCAGCAGATGAAGATCTAGAAAGAAAGGATGGTTTACTCACTCTTAGCCTCTCCATAGAGTTCTATAGATAAGTCTTCAGATGAGAACAAATTGCCTATGTCTCAACTGTAGAAATGACTCTAGAATTACACTGTCCCATCAGATTCTCAATTTTAGGGCATTCATGTAACTCTAAAGCACACTGAAGCAGGCCAATTGTTAACCCAAAGAGACTAATTTAAAGTTTCTCTCCTTTTCAGTGTGTGGCCAAGCCCATTTCCATTGCAATTGCTTTTCGTTGTAAGTGAAAAAGTAAGGAAAAATGTCAAAGGGATCAAGGTGAAGTAAACACACACAAAAATTCATTTCTTCCATGCTGTAAGGATAGGTGGGTAGGTGGTGGGAATATGAAAAGGCTAATTCTTTCAGAAAAACAATGCTAAAATAAATAATCACTACTTTTCGAAAGTTGATTGCCTACATAAAATGCCCATTTATTGACTAACACAGCTGAACTCTTACGGAAACACTTACCTGAACTGTCTAAGGCTGTAGTGAGGTATGATGATGCCACTGCACTCTAACCCAGTCAACACAGCAAGACCTTGTCTAAGACCATGTATTGAAGTAGAGCTAAAAAACCTTACCTGAAGAACACAGGTAGCAATAAATGGAACCTAATGTGGCTTCTAGATTCAATTTAATTAGTGTACAACTTCTAGAGCAACATGACCAGGAGTTCTTTTTAGGTTGGTTTTGAAGGTTACAATTTTGCCCTAGCATTTGGGAATTAAACTAAAGTATATAGAATAAGCCCTTTATTTCATTCTATTCTTTTTTTTAATTCTCATTTTTTCTTTTTATTATTCACTTTGACATTCAGACTTTATTCCATTTTAGACATATAGAGACTTTTGTCACTGTATTTGTGGAAGACAGCTCCACAGACTTGATCCACAGCCTGAGCAGGATAGCTAATTCAAATAAAATGGAATTCTAATAACACCTTTGAGAAAATCTAGAAAGCACTTGGAACAGTATCTAATTTGGGCCATATTTTGTAAAAGATAGACCAGTCACTAGGAGCAGGTGCTCAATCATCCGGTGAACTACAAGTTATCCATAAAGAACAAGTAATTTATGCTGACAAGCATTCTACAGAGGGGAAATAGACCATCAGTTTCACTTAAAATTGGTCTCTTGTACATCCATGATCGTATCACTATTATTCACAATAGTCGAAATTTGGAGGCGATCTAAGCATCCATCAACAGATGAATGGATAAATAAAATATGGTACATACATACAATGGAATATTATTTAGTCTTTAAAAAAGGAAATTTTGTCACATTACAACATAGATGAACCTTGAAGGTATTATGTTAATTAAAATAAGCTAATAACAGGCCAGGTGCGGTGGCTCTTGTTTGTAATCCTAGCACTCTGGGAGGCCAAGGCGGGAGGATTGCTCAAGGTCAGGAGTTCAAAACTAGCCTGAGCAAGAGTGAGACCCTGTCTCTACTAAAAATGGAAAGAATTGGCCAACTAAAAATATATAGAAAAAATTAGCTGGGCATGGTGGCGCATGCCTGTAGTCCCAGCTATTCGGGAGGCTGAGGCAGGAAGACTGCTTGGGCCCAGGA